TTTATATTATTGTTGTGTGTTTATTTATCTTTTCCATTTAGCTTTTTTTATCGCGCTGTGTTCGCTGTTTCTGTCATTACACTTTTATTTATGAATTATTATTTTATTATTTGTATTTTCCAACCAATCTTTATTGTCTTGTTTGTCATTTTTCAATCATTCCAACTTTTATTTGTCCTGGTTTTGCAGCTTCCTGTTGTGGTATTTAGGCATTATTGATTAGTAGTAATGTATTTATATATATTCATGATCATCAAATAAGAGCTCTTTTATAAACATGTTGTGTTCCAACCTCTGGCTCAGGGCCCTCCAGAGAGTCCACAGATGAATCTGAGGGAACAATCGATGATTAAAGAGATGAAATTATCTGAATGTTTTAGGACTTTTGGTTTTAGACACTTCAACTGTTATTAAAGTGAAACGAAGTAAGGAGGAAGAACAGCTGACGTGGTCCTCACTGAGGCCTGAACCTGAACCCATTCCCTCCGTTTAAAGGTCAGAAACCTCCCAGTTCATCTTCCAATCGGACACGGTTTCAGTGGTTATTTTAGGGGCATTGAGGAAATAGATTGGACAGAGGGAGCACAATGGACGACATTTGCTGCTGTTTCCAATCAGATTGTATTTTGACTCATTTGCATTCAACCTGCAGTGAGCGCAGCAGAAAGAGCTCATTTCCTCGCACTGATACGAGCCACAGAGCTGCAGATATGGACTGATGAGCAGTCTGTGGGCGAGCGCTGAGTGCCGCAGCCACATTAGCTCCCATTGTGGGCAGCTAAATGGAAGGCGGACTGGAAATCACTGGGAGGGAATTCAGTGGAAGGACAGAAAGCAGGTCCACTTCCTGTTAAAGCTGCTTGCATCATAATGGACTCGCAGTATCAGGACACATTGTGCTGCAGAAACACACTGGATGCTCCCATTTATTCTCTTTTATTCTGGTTTATTCTGGTTTTGTGTTCACTTTCTGCAACAACGACACTTTTCCATTTGCAGCCTGCTGCAAACTTTAATCCTACAACTCATTTTTCTCTAAATAATGCACATTATTGTGTCTGCTGACCCCTCAGATTGTTCCTGGGACCCGCCGAGAGCTCCTGCTTTAGTATCGTAATTAAACAGTAAAATGTCACATTAAACTTTATAAATTAACTTATTTTAGCTGCTCATCTTTCTGCTCTTTGACTCTGATGATATTTGAATCCTCGCAGCAGTTTGTTTTCTCGTGTTTCTTTTCTAGTTTTTCATGTTTAGTCATCCTGAGTCGCTGCCACACAAATGTCAACAACAGGATGTGAACGCTGTATTTAAATATCGATTGTTTTCCTGCTGCAGTTAATGATTGATTCATCCCACAAATTCACTGAATCAATAATCACATTAAAGAAACTTTTGTTTTTTTTAACCCAGATTGTTACACAATAATAATAACTTTATTTAATAACATTATATATTATAAATGTTATAAATGTTCTAATACCCTTAATGATCAAATATAACAAAGAATATAACAAAGAAACAATCAGTTAAACCATAAAGTCAATAATACTAAAGTTGATTTATATAACACACATCAGGATCAATAAAAAGCTTTACAATCACAATAAAAACTGTAAAAATCAAAAGAGAATCGTAAATATTTAAATAATAAAGTCAAATCCTAACAGCTGATCAATACCATCAATTTCATCAATACCATTATTATTTATTTTAATTGATTCTTTTATTGTTGTCATTTTTTAATTGTGAACTTACTGTCCATCCAGCGATCAATAAAAGACATTATGATATGATAATATCAAAAAATCAATATGATCAATAATGTGTGTCTCTGGCAGAGCTCTGAGGGTCCCAGCGTCCTGCTGGTGGAGGCTTTTTACGGCGGCTCGCACAAACAGCTGATCGACCTGCTGACAGAAAACGTCTCTGGCTGCTCTGTCGTCACGCTGCCCGCCAAGAAATGGCACTGGAGGGCGAGAACGGCGGCGCTCACCTTCAGCCAGACCATCCCTCACCTGTCCCTCACACAGGTAACACCCTCACCTGTCCCTCACCTGTCCCTCACCTGTCCCTCACACAGGTAACACCCTCACCTGTCCCTCACACAGGTAACTCCCTTCACCATGTCCCTCACCTGGGTCCCGTCACCACAGGTATAAACTCCCTCCACCTTGGTCCTCACACAGGTAACTCCCTCACTGTCCCTTACCTGTCCCTCAACCCACAGTAACTCCCTCACCTGTCCCTCACACAGGTTACAACCTCACCTGTCCCTCACACAGGTAACACCCCCATCTGTGTGGATTTCCTCCTGCAGGTCTGGACCTCCACAGGAAGTCCATCAGACTGTTCTCAGCTCTGAAACAGTAAAAATAAATCTGGTTTGAGTCAGACTGAGTCCTGAAAAAAGACCCCAGCAGATCCAGGAAATGAGTCTGATTCAGGTCTGAGAGGACATCAGTGATCAGCGAAACTGGAGAAACCGCATCAAAGCAGCTGGAACCTGGTTTAAATGGGGGGTAGGGAGATCCAGAGCTTCAAAGACTCCTGATGAAGTGGTTAACAAAGAGCATTGTCTGACTCACTTCTTATAGTGGATTCAACAAGAGTTAGAGTCTACTTCAGAGTCCAGGAAGGTTTAATTTCTGTGTGGGACGAAGTCACCGCAATCCCAGACCCAAATCAAATCCCAAATCAAGTCCCAAATCAAGTCCCAAATCAAGTCCCAAATCAAGTCCTGAATCAAGTCCATGTCCCATATGAATTCGTAAGACAAGTGCCGATAATATGAATCAGTATAACAGAGTCATCTGGAGTCTGCACTGATATCAGGACTCCCTGTTTGGGGACTTAAAGTTTTCGGTCTCTCACCAGACTAGCGTTACCCCCAGACCAGAACAGATCTGCTCCAGAAATGAACTAAGTCCTCTAGCGCCACCTTCAGGACAGACTGTTTATATCTGACACCTTTATAATCCAGAGACTGTGATGTTGGCTCCAGATGTGGTTCTCAGAAGGTTTCTGACACCAGGTCTCTGGCTGCCGTACTGACTGAGACTGTAGTCTCTATTAACATCAGATTTCTCTACGGTTTCCTCTTCAGAGTCCTGTTCAGCAGCTCGGTCCTGAACTTGTGTGAGCTGGTGGCTCTCAGACCAGATCTGGCCCGCCTGAAGAAGGTCCTGTACTTCCACGAGAACCAGCTGGTTTATCCGGTCCGCAAAGAGCAGGAGAGAGACTTCCAGTACGGATACAACCAGGTCCTCTCATGGTAATCCCTAGACCTCCATCACTGCCATCAGTACTTCGTTAGCACTGATTATAAAGTGAATGAAGTCCAACAAATAGTCCAACGTTTTTTCTATATTTTAATGTTTTATTAACAGTCAAAACCCACATTTATTTATGATTAAGTTCACTATTACAGAGAAGCTAGTAACTGTAGGGGGCGCTAAATCCCAAAATGTTCTTCCATATTGTTGCTTTAAACAATGACATAAAGGTTATATACGACATTCACTGCCACTGGGTGTCGCACCAGAGCTCCACAATCTCAAACCAGAACAGACTCCAGAGACTAAACCTCGAGTTTAACATCATCGTAACGTCGTTCACTGCAGACAGGAACAGGACCGGGCTGAGGGTTGGTCCGGTACTGATGGTACCACAGATACATGTTACTAATCACTGCAGGCAGTCCGAATGAGCGTGTCAGGCTGCACATGATTGGTTAACGAGCTGCTGTGATGTGATTGGTTAACGAGCTGCTGTGATGTGATGCTATGTGTGTAATTGAAGTGGGTCTAGTTGTCATTAATCAGCTGTCTAACAGTAAACAGAAAACTGATTGTTGTTGATCTGCAGGGCAGCCTGTCAATAAGTCGAGTCTCTCCATCTCCGCTAACGTCGTTACAACAGCATTAAAGAACTGATCATTAAAAACCTCTGATTGGATCACAGCCAGATTACTTCACTCAGTTCAATTATAATGCAGCACAAAGCTTTATAATCTCTCCCAGCATATTATTAAATATATCTGATCAGTTAATGTCAGAACAGAGAATACCTCCACGTTATCAATATCAGTATCAGCCCCGAAGTCCAGAATTGATCAGGCTGCACTGCTTATTGGTATCAATACTTATACTCCTTGTATTTTGAGCTAAAATATAAAACTACACACAACAGGACTCAGTGTGCTTTATTTATGCTTTTAACAGACAAACGCCAACAAACGCTCTAGAAACCAGAGGTAATATACAGTTAGGTAACTGACTGTACCCTCCTCAGTTACTCTTTAATCAATGTGAGGACGACATGCCAGGGACAGTACAACAGTTCAACAGAACAGTACAGAAAAAAACAAAAAGAAGCTGTCAGCATTAGCATGTTTCCAGCTAGTGAGCATGTTAACTCATCAACCACAGTAGTTTTATTATTATTTTATGAATTATTATTATATTATTATTATAATATTATTAACTAGTCACATCACCAAGACTGTAGAAACAGTGAATATCTGCTGTGACTGGACCTGATCAACAGTGTAAACTACTGAAACTGTTATTATTATTGTTGTTATTATTATATTATTATTCCTCCCTCACTGTCTTTATATGTTGAGAGGTCGACTTTATGTAAACAGATTAAGAATTAATAGTTTTTGTGTATAAAAATATAATAATAATATAATAATTATAATTTTGTGTGTCTGCAGCCTGGTGGCAGACGTGGTTGTGTTTAACTCCTCCTTCAACATGGAGTCCTTCCTGTCCTCCATCTCCTCCTTCATGAACAAGATCCCAGACCACAGACCCAGAGACCTGGACCTGTTGATCCGGCCTAAGTGTGAGGTCCTGTACTACCCAGTCCAGTTCCCCGATGTCAGTAGGTCAGTGTGACACTGAACACAAACCTACAGTGTGTACTGTTAGCTTGCTAACGATTATTGTAGTTTAAGTTTATTATAATAATTTATAATATTATTATATAATTTACTATTGTAGTTTAAGTTTATTATAATAATTTATAATATTATTATATAATTTAC